CTCCATACAAATTAATTTTTGTATAAAAATGTTTATAAACATTTTTTAAACTTGTTACAAAGAAAACCAGAAATATGAACGTTTTTGTATGGAAGAAATATGCAATATTTTTATAAAACTTAGCACAACTCATAACCTTTTTCATCGATTATTATAAATTGACCATGATTGGAAACCCAACTTAATGTGCCTTTTTTCAAATGTAATAAAAGCTAAAGTTACTGCTTCATGGCCAACGTAGAGCAGTATGAAAATTAAAAATTGTGAAAAAAGTGTGAGTTTTTTTAATTAAATGGCCGTGACCAAGACATTAATCATAAATTTTGGATTTACTTTTTTGGGTTGAAAGACAACACTTCTATCTTTAAAACAAAATATCCAATTTGAAAATCGGTTGCAAACTACCAAACATATATTTTTTTAAAGTTAAAACTTCAAAAATAGCTCTTTTTCACATCTTTTGCTCTTAAAAAGGAACTAAACGAAGCGATCGAGAAAAATTAAAAATATATTCCTACTATATGGACTATAACGAAATGGAATTGGTATATGAGAACCCCTGCTTTTTTTGTTGTATCATTGTGTTATCTAACTCTTTAAGTTCAAATTTAAAGGATGGAAATAATAGCTGCTGGAATTGCCATTGTCTTACATATTTTATCATATCAGATAATTGTAATATGGATTAAAAAAATAGACACTTTGTCGAAGTATTACTTGTGAAGTATTTTCAATAATAAAGCTTGGTATTCTGTTCAAAATTTCACGTGAAATTTTTAAAAAACGTTATACAAAAAAAAATTTTAATGAAAATTTTATGGAAAAATTTTGCTGAATTAGTACTCTGTTTGTATTGAGGAAAAACATGTGAAATGTTTCTAACGACATTTTTTTTTTCAATTGTATGAAATAATATAGACTCTAGTTAGTTCACGTGAAATTTTAAATAAAAGTTTATTAACATGTCTTTAATTATTGACGACCATGTGTCGTCCAATATCCATTATGTATTACTAGATATTTCATCATTTAAATGGAACTTTCATTCATAAAAACTTTTTTTTACAAAAAAAAAATTAAAAACAAATGTTCTTTTTAATTTATTTTTCAATTTAAATTTGTCAAACAAAACATAAACATTGGGTTTTGTTTACATATATAAGAGATAAAAACGACAAATTTTATTAAATCCCTAGGTAGATAACACTGATACATTTTAATTTTTTCAAATGAAATTGTAAAAGTTGGTAAACATTTTTCACGACTTCAAACAGAGTACCAGCCATATAGTAGCATATAGGCGAAAGGGATTGTCAAAGACCTAAGTCCCCTGTCAAAGACCTAACTGGTGAGAGTGTATTAGTAGAAGCACAAAAATAAACACAGTTGTTCAAAAGGTACTAAATAATAAATGTATTTTTGATACGTTATTTTTTGTGTGTTATTACTGGGATTTCATCTACTTGTAAATTAAAATTTGAAAACATATTATAAACACGTATTTTTGTTATTTTTTTCCGCACTAATGGAAAAAGAAAAAAAGTATGTGAAATACTTTTTTCATTTTCAATACAAAAATTTACAACTTTTCTTTTTTCAGTTTTAATTAAAATGAAATGTCAAAGAATAAAAAATATTTGTTTTGTTTGTAAAATTTAAAATATTTTCGGGGTTTTAAATACATTAAAAGTGTGGCAAAAAATAATAAATATTAAGTTTAAGTGATAAGATGAACTATTAAGTGCTAATATCCTCGCAATTTCGCGGAGAAAATTTGAAGTTTTGTGAGTGCGTTTAGTTCTCTCAAGTTTGTTTTATTCTCTCAGAACTCGTCTGTGTGAAGAGAATAACAAATTTTGTTTGACAACCCCTTCAGTTTCGCCTATATACCTACTATATGGTACCAGCCATAATGTGGAGTTTTAAAGTATTTCTCAATCGAATGCAAAGATCAAACCTTTATATATATATTAACAAAAGTATATAGTTTACGATTATATTTAATTTGGCTGCGGCCACTTGTAGCCCTTTCAGTAATATTCAAAATACTAAGTTAACCTCAAATTTTTATTATATGTTTTAGTACAGTATTTTTATTTTTGAATACTTTTTGTTAAATTTTTTATTTAAACCACAAAAAACTAAATATGCGCGAATCTAGAGACAGCATAGATTAAAACTAATAAAACTAATAATTCTCTTTTAAAGGGGTTTTAAAATTTCAAATTATGTAAGGCTTTCAAAAAGTAAAATTGATATTGATAATTTATGATCCCAATATGGGTATCAAATAAAAAAGAAGAATCTCAGCACTATTAAAAATTATTTATTTTAAATCTTCCAGGATAAAACAACATAAAATGTCCTTTAAACTATTTTGTCCTTCTACATGTTTGTAGATTTAAAATTTGTTGAACTATTTTTTGAATTTGTACAAAGTGTTATATTTACTTACAGTTAATCTCAAAAATAAGTATACAGAAATACTGACAATTGGTTTTATTTAAAAAAGGATATTATTTTTTCAAAAATCAAAAAAGTAACACATTTATTTATTAAAAACAATTATGATAATTATTATTCACTACTCTTTTCCGGGTTATTTCGGTTACTTGAGTTCTCATTTAAGGTGTAGTTAAAGTAAGTATACAGATAATTTCAATATGTATTTGGCTTAATGATATTTACAAAATTCATGAAAATTTTACCTGTTTGAATGTAATTATTTTATAATAAAATATTCTGTACACTATAACATGAAAAAAATTCACTTGTTGTTCCGAAAAATTGAAATGTTTGTTAATTGATCTGAATATTATTTATAGGAGCATTTTTTCCTATTTAAGAACATCTGGCTATTTAAACCCCCGGAGTTTTGGATCGGGTATTCAATAATATCCCTCGTTTGTTCATTATGATGCATTGGAAGACGATATTTTAACTTTTAAATTAATTGTTTCTTTACAATAATTGCAATCCATTGCGGATATTCGATATTTAACGGCGATTTCCTAAAATTTATATCTTAAAATGCGATATTAATAATATGTGTACTAGTATCCATTAATTAAAACAAGTTTTTTGGTTCCAATCATCCATTACACACTCCTAAATACTACCAATAATCGTCAAATGGTGACCATGTCAATAACTTACACTACATATCGGTTCTGAAATTGATTATTGTCCAAAATAGTAAGATTTTTATATTAAATCAGGCTCAAGTGGTGGTATGAATACGAATTGAACAATTTTGAAAACGGATACATCTTAATTTGTTGCTATAACAAATAAAATGTCGGATCCATAAAACATGGTTATTGTATCGAGTATATCAAGATATGATTGGTAGCATTATTGTATGCTTTGGAAATCGGAGTATTTGGAAAACCTGTTTAAATTTAAGGAAATATATACAATTATCCAAATTTAAAAGTTTATGTTGTAAGTCTTAAGAAATCGGTGTTAAATTTCGGTTTTTTAAGAACGTACTGTGTTCAAAATGGCTAAATCCATGCATATAACATTAATTTCGAAATAACAACTCTTTTCAAAAGTTAAAATTGGAGGGTTCAATGACCACCAGATCCAAAATCCGGGGTCTAAAGTGGAAAAAAATCGTAGAAATGAGAAAAAACTGTTCTACTAATTAATTCCGGAGCCAATTGGCCCAAATTTCAAGATTTCGGAACTAAAAGTAGATTTTTTCCAAGTTATTGTGTAAAATATATTTTATTAAAAAGTAATTATATTAATACAAGTAAAATTTTCATAAATTTTGATAATATCATTAAACCAAATATATTCTGAAATGATCTGTATACTTACTTTTGTGACGTAAATTTTGTACCTTTTTAACTTCAGCTTAAATGAGAACTCAAAGAACCAAAATATGAAGAAAAAAAAGTAGTGAATAATAATTATCATAATTGTTTTTAATAAATAAATGTGTTACTTTTTTGTTTTTTGAAAAAATAATATCTTTTTTTAAATAAAACCAATCGCCAGTATTTCTGTATACTTATTTTTGTGATTAACTGTATATCCGTTTTATTTGTTCACACAGAAAAAAACCCAATGTAAAATCAACATTGGAAAAATGTTGATTTCCAGTCATTGTAAATTTTTTATAAAATTTTTGAATATACAACATTTTTTCGATTTGAATCAACATTAAAAGATGTTAATTTAATCTTAAAAATAGTTATTTCAACATTATTCGTTTTGAAATAAAATTGTGCACATTTGATTTAACATTTTATAATGTTAAAATAGCAGTTTTCAATGTTGATTTTATAAAATGCATTTTTATAGTAAAAACAAAGTGATGTAGGGTAAAACAAAATTTTTAACGTAAAATCAACATTGCGTTTAGTTAAAATAACATGGGCCAATGTTAATTCAACATTTTATTTACAATAAAATCAACACCGAAATATGTTGACACAACATGTGAACATTTAAAATGATTAACGAATTGCGAATAAAATGGTTTCAAGTTGAATCAACATTATTCCATGTTAAAACAACATTGTTTTCATGTTAAATCAATATTGGTTCATAATTAAAAATCATTTAAAAATTACATTTTTTATATAAATTATAAATAACATCGGTTCAAGTTAAATTAACATTGAATCATGTTGAATATGTATCAGATAATTTTAAATTGACATTGATTCATGTTAAATCAACATTGTATCATGTTAAATCAACATTATACCACGATAAAAATAATTGTAATTAGATTGAAATGAAGTTGTTGAATTTTAAATTAACATGAAAAAGAGTTGAAATGAAATCATGTTGAATTCTGCAAAAAGTACCGCTATTTTGGAATATAAAAAATGCATCATTCATCTATTAGTACAGCTTGAATAAGTATCGTCAATAAATATCGTGCGTGTTATATTATAAAAGCGTGGTTTAAAAGTAAATTAAATTAATTATTTTTAAACATAAAAATATAGTTTTTGCCAAAGAATAATAATATTCATGTGTTAAGTGTTTGATAGCTTAAAGTATTTATCAAAGGAAGATAATAAGGAAGCCATACATACCCCCAATTGGTATTCGTGCTTGTTTCCGAGAAAAAACTGTTTAGTTGGAGAAAAACTGAGGTATTAAACATTATTACAACTATGTAGTTGAGAATTAATGAATTCTTTTATTAATGTATCAGTATGGAATTGATGACGAAACATTGTCTGAAGAGATAGCCGAAAAAGTAGTTTCATGGCTACAAAACCAATCTAATATTGGCACATCATCAACACCAAAATCATCTTTTTCTCTATCAGTTGGAAGTTCTAAGTTATCAAAGTTGAAGTATGGAATTGTTTTCATGGTGTCCGCTACTAATAATTGATTTATATTTAATTTTAGAGTCTAAAGCAGATTTTAGAAGATAGTCTTAAGGGGAAATAATTAACAAGTTTTTATAAACAAAATGATAATTTGACCGATTCACTTCGTGCAGAATTGATTAATATAATTTTGGAAGATATATTTTTTCATGAAGCTAAATTATCACCAAAAGATCTGCCAAATATAGTGGACGAAATTGTCAACAACTTCCGCAGTGAGGTAAGAGTAAGTTTTTAATTAAAAATTTAATACAGAAATAACTTTGTTTCGTTAACTAATAGGAATACTATTTTATTCCACGGGGTAGAAAAGCGAATTCAGGAGGGAAGCTTTGGGATAACTACGTTAACCAAAAGGCAAAGCGAGCACGCTCTTCAGTTAAAATTAAAGACAATTTAGATGCTTCGAATTCTAACTCGCTGAGAGTTAATTCTGAACTCGATGTATCAATTTTACTAGCTTTAAAAGCTAACCTTTCTAGAGATTTTTCTATTTGGGATGAAGTTAAAGATAAATGGCAACGAGCATTCTTGTTACGACAAAAAGAGTTGAAGTCGTCTTCCAATAATTATGAATTTCTAGAGAACTGGCCTCTTTATTCTAACGCACGATCTAACAAACTAGTATGTTTAAACAAATTGTGTTGAAATTTTATAATTGTGTGTTATTTTCATTTCTATTTTTTATATAGATTAATATCGTTTTCGAAATGATGCACCCAAATAAAAGTCATCTTCTTTTCAATAAATGGAAGGGATTTATGGAAAAATTGTAAGCTATTACTGTTTACATGTAAAGGACAAAAGGTCTAAGGAAGTTCTTACAAATTCAAAGAATACTACTGAACAAAGTAATTATTATAATATAATATATATTATATATATATATATATTTTAAGTCATATTCTTAATTAGCACTTTGTTTCCAGATTCATTAGATTATATATGTATATTCTGCTAAATTCAATTATTTTACCAAGCGCACGTTTTTCGGATAAACGAGGAAAATTTTCAAAAAAGGTTTCTATACCAGATGCTAACGAGAGTTTTATTGTTCACCTTACCACTATAAATGATTATGAAAAGGATCAGAACTTAAAGAGAAATATTATAACAGAAGTTTAACTATTCAACCTTTTCATAGTATTTATAATCTTGAAAAATTTTACGTATATTTTGATAAAACACTCTTAAAATGTGACTCGTTTTTGAAAAGTTTAGATATTTGCTTTAAACTATTTATACATTGTCCTTAGAATATCCAAAAGGTTGCCAAGATCCGTGGCTATTTATTCAAGAATACTTTTACGAAATTAAACCTATTAATAATAACAAATTATCAACCATTTACTCATTGTTAAACTATTTAAAAACATAATTATTAATTTCAATATGTTGATTTGTTTTGTTTGTGATAAAGAAATATTTCTCTTAAGTAACTTTATTCAACATTAATTAACTTTACCAATTATATGTATAAATTTCTGAATTTTTATTTTATATAAATAAATAATTATTTTAAATAAATATTAATACATTTGGTTTTTTAACTACAGATATTTTCAACAAAAAACAAGTAAGAAAGTATAGTCGGGCGTGACCGACCATATGATACCCTACATCAGTTATGAATATTAAATGTGATTTATTTTTCATAATAAAGCATTTATCTTCTATTACCTTGTTCCGATACATTTAAGCAATTTATGGATGTAAAACAAATTTTCTGAAAGAGGCTTTATATGGGGGCTAGGGGCAATTATGGACCAAGCCTGATAAAATTTTGTGAATATATTTATATGTACATAATATTTTATTGTGCTGAATTTCATCGCGATATTTGTGTTTATAAGTTAATTTTGGACATTCAAGTTATTTTCTGAAGGGGACTTTGTATGAGAGCTAGGGTCACATGAGTCCCGATCTCTATGAAATTTGCCAAGGTCATCAAGGCTTGTATAAAACTTAGTTGTGCCGCTTTTTATCAATATCAAGGTATATTTAACATAATTATGAGCTCAGAAGCCCTTTTCGGGGGATTCCGTTGTATGGGAGCTAGGTGAAATAATGGACCGATTTTAAACATTTTCAATATTCTTCGTCCTTGGGCCAAAAAAAAAGTGTGTGCCAAATTTCATCCAATTATCTTAAAAATTGCGACCTGTACCTTGCGCACAAGGTTCACATGGACAGCCAGCCACCTAGACGGACATAGCTTAATCGACTCAGAGAACGATTTGTATACTTTAAGGTGTGTATAGGACGAATATTTTTGTATGCTACAAACGTCAGCACAAACCCAATATACCATCCCCACTAAAGTGGTAAAAAATATTAAAGTTTACCAATCGGCTTAGAATCGTTTTCTGAGTCGATTAAGCTATGTCCGTCCGTCCGTCCGTCTGGCCGGCTGACTGGCTGTCTATGTAAACATTTTGTGCAAGGTACAAGTCGCAATTTTCAAGATAATTGGATGAAATTTGGCACACACGCTTTTTTGTTTGGCCCAAGGACGAAGCCTATTGAAAATGGTTAAAATCGGTCCATTATTTCACCTAGCCCCCATACAACAAAACACCCCGAAAAGGCCTTCTGAGCTCATAATTATGTTAAATATATGTATATCGATAAAAAGCGGCACAACTAAGTTTTATACAAGTCTTGATGACCTCGCCAAATTTCATAAAGATCGGGACTCATTTGACCCTAGCTCCCATACAAAGTCCCCTTCAGAAAATTAATTGAATGCCCAAAATAACTTATAAACGCAAATACCGCGATGAAGTTCAGCACAAATAAATATTAAACAAACATTATATAAATATAAATACATTCACAAAACTTTATCGGGTTTGGTCCATATTTGCCTCTAGGCCCCCATCCATAAATTGCTTAAATGTATCGGAACAAGGTAATATTGCAGATAAATGCTTTATTATGAAAAATCAATCTGAAAATAAGTCGGTCACGCCCGACTATACTTTCTTACTTGTTTTAACATTGAACAATGTTGAATTTATTGGAATCTTACAGTTATTTCAACATGATGCCACTTTATTTCAACATGGGTAGCAATGTTAATTAAAAATGATTTCTAATTGTTTTAAAGTGAAAAATGTTATATTTGGGTTATTGTAAAATCATGTTGAATTAACATGAAACACCTATGAAGCAAAATCATAGTTGAAAAATGTTGATTCAACCTTGTTTTTTCGTTGTTACAATGATTTTTTCTGTGTGTTAGAAGAAACGTCCAATTAGAGAATATTTTCTACGCCATAGTGTTTTCAAAATCGCGGGCTCAAACATGGTTCAAATGTGAAAAGATAAGTGGATGTTTATTATGAAATACAACTTGTACCTAAGATTTATTAATGTTTATCTATGTTCTAATGTTTATAAAGTGGGCGTTTGGTCGGCGTGTTCAAAGCTTATACAATTTTCTTAAAGGGATTTATAGTTCCATAATGGGATGCTAGTGGGATATCCGCCAAAAAAATATTTTTTAACTCAAGAATACATTTTTTTCAATATTTGGCACCTATTTTTTCAAAATGGACGTTTTTGTTGTATTTTTATTACTGAAAAGAAAGCTTAGACCATTTCCTTTAAGAGCTTTGGGTCAACTTAGTGGAATGCAAATTTCGTCGAAATCGATTTTTTGAGTTGGGTCACTTGACATGAAATTCCCCATATGTATCTTTCTTTGAAAATGTATACAACCAAGAAAAACAAGTGCAGCAATGAAATTCGACAAAAACTGATTTTATATTAACCGACATTTTTTTACTAAGTTTTTATAAGAATCGGTCCATAATTGACCCTTCTCCATGTAGAGGGCCCCTTCAAAATGTAAGTTTAACGCTCATAGCAGTCTTTAACTTGTAATGAATCCGAAATCTGCATACCAAATATATGAGGATCGGGATATAATTGACCCATAAAAAATAAACAAATTATGTAGGAACCAAAAACTTTTTACGAAATTTTATGATGATCTGTTTATAATTGACACTACACCCATAGGTATTTTTTCTCCTACAGAAAATTAAATTTGCCATGAATACATTTTAAAGAAACTAAAATATTCCTACTAATATTTATGTGGATCGGTCTATAAATGTTCTTACCCCCATTGAAAAATTCCGAAAATAGTATTGATGTAAATATTGATATACGATAATGAAATTCAGTATTAATGATTAAATCGTGGCCAAATATAGGATTAAATTCCTGGAATCGCTAAAAAAAATTGTATTGGTCCCAGATGAGCCAAATTTTATAAAATTATCTTAGAATTTGCGGTTAAGCCATGGGCCCATAAATTTTATAAAAATAATATGTATGTTTTTACAAGTTACGAATTTATGTATTTAGGCTTTTACACAAATCTATTTCTGTCGATTTGTCTGTTATAGGCATCAAAGGGCCCATAAATAGTTAGCATGGGAGGTGCAATTTTTTAAACATATTCTGAGCTGATCAGTATTTGATATTCAAAATTGGAGAATCGTCTAACTAGAAAAATATTTTATGAATGTCCTTAATATGCTGAAACCTTAAAGGTGACAGCTAGAAAACGTTTTAGAATCCATAAAAATCGTTGATTTATTACAAATTTATGTCTCTTCTCAGCCTCCGTTTCGAAAAGACATTGTGACGATAAATACATGGGTACAAACACTATGCAATAAATATTGCGTCTTCGAATCTTTCCCGAACAAGACCAACGGAAAATGAAAGTAGATAATTAATACTTAGACCCAATTTCCCAAAAGGGCTTTAAATTTATTTTATCGTTAATTTATAGGCATTTTATACTAAGCTTTTTTCAGGAAAATTTTCTCATGTGTAATATCAAAAAAATGTTGAGCAGACCCTCTCCGATTTTGATGAAATTCGGTACACACATTCTTTTCATACATACAAAATTTAAAGTTCTCCAAAATTTCCAAATTCGTTACGATTTTAACCATTTTAGAATGTAATTAATGCCTATGTGTCGTAGTATGACAATATTTTATTTGAAATACTATGGTTTTAAAATAAGGATAATGATATCAAAAATGTCCTCGAGCCAAGGATATCTTAAAAACGGTTTCTTCCATTTTCATTATTCCTTTACTAAAATTAGTTTATAATATCAACAACAACATATAAAAAAACAAGTAGGAAAGTATATATGAGACCCTACACCAATGAATATGTTAAAAATGTGGATTATTATTAATAATAAAGCATTTAAGTTCTTTACCTTAATTCCTAAAAGTGCGGTTATATGGGGGAAGGGTAAATATGGGCCAATCCTTATACATTTTGGTACATGGCTTTACGTTTACATTAGAGTTATGTACGCTGAATTTCATCGTGATACTAGTGTTTATAAGTGAATTATTGACATTCAAGCCATTTTCTGAAGGGTACTTTGTATGGGGGCTAGGGTCAAATAAAGTCCGATAATTAAGTTTTGCCAGATACTGCAATATTTAACATAATTATGAACTCAAAAGCCATTTTCGGGGGTAGGGTTGTATGGGAGCTAGGTGAAATAATGGACCGATTTCTACCATTTTCATTTTCGTCGTTGGGCCAAAAAGACGTATGTTCCAAATTTCATC